GCCTGACTTCCATAGCTCTTGTTGGCTCACTCTGCTCCTGAGCGTAATCCCCGTGTGACCCTGCAAGGCATATGGTGTCCTCCTCCCCTGGGGTGAGTTACACGACGAATGAACTGCTATCATTCTTATCTCTCCAGTGTTTGGTGTCATGTGTTCAGCCATCTCACACTATTTAGGGTGAAGGATCCCTCCTTTACTAATGAGATGAATAGGAAATGGTCGGTACAGGAGGGTTAGGAGCCTTACGACACAGGTTTGCCCAGTTTTGCTTCAGCATCTTGTGGTTTTTTTCCTTCTCATCATTTTTGTTAAGAACACAATATTAGATGGCACCTGTTTCATTGTCTGGGTTTTTGTTTTGTTTTATTTTGTTTCAGCTAGTCAAATGTTGGGGAGACACAGTTTTGAAACTACTTTGTTTTGTTTCAAAACTCTTTATACACAGTGATTTTGCAGAAAAGTGTAGGACAATGTGTAGAAGTAAGGGTGTCCAGGGGCAACCAGCGTCAATGTCATTATTGGACACGAACAGTAAGTGAGAAAGGAGGAAACTCTAAGAATGAGATTATTTGTATGCTGCATTAGAAAGAGAACAAAAACACCTCATAAACATAACATAAACATAAACACTTTAAAAACTGAACTCAGCGAACTTATTAAAGTGTCTGAACCATATGATGTCATTTTAATTTCATCATGCTGAAAATTTTTATATTTTTATGAAAGGACAATACGTTGATGCCATCAAAGACAAACTAGGGCTACTGAATTCCTCAGAGCACAAGACGGAGCAAACACACCCCCAGGGAAACTGTATCCTAGGATTTAACTCTGCTCCTGAACAGTTATGCAGCTAGTCATGCATAGACGTTTGAAACGTATGAATGGATCACTCTTGAATAAGCACCCTGTATTCCTTCTCAATCATATAGCAAGTAGAATAGGCACCTTCTTAAATGGTGCTCTGAGAACTCTTACCCCAAAAGGTCAACCTACCAACTTATAATTTCCATCTTAGCCTTCTTACCTTAGGGTCTGCAAAAACTGTTTGGTCTTCAGTGCCTCAAAGGATAAGGAGGATTTCAACAGAAAGAATGAGTGGGTAACCATGCCTTTATTATGGAGAATTATTGGTTAAAAAGTTCTTGACTTAAACTAGTTAGGGCAAGAAGCTCTAATTATAAGCTTGTATCAAGTACCAATAACAATAATAATAGCCCAGATGTATGAAGCAATTACAAAATATTAGGTTTATTGCTAAGAATTTAACATAAATTATCATATCTAATACATAGGCAAAAATATAGATGCTTTTATTATCTTTATTTTGCAGATAAAGAAACTGAGGCGTAGAGAAGTTGAGTAAAAGGCCATGGGCATACAACTAACAAGTTCTGTGACTGAGAATCTAACATTAGATTTCTGACTCTGCTGTCAGAGCTCTCAACCTATGCTCTCTGAGTATTCTGGGCTGTAGGAAAGAACACCTGGAACAAAGATTACTTGGGATGTCTGCTTCAAAAATGGTTTATCCCAAATTCTAACTTAATTGCTAATTTAGTCATCCAACCTTGGTCTTGGGACTGTGTTAGATATTGTGAGTATAAACATGAATGGGAGAGAATCCCTTCCATCAAGTCGTTCATGGCCCAATGGAATGGTTAGAAAATAAAGAATTGAAAATACAGCATGGTAAGGACTATGTAGGGACAAGCAAAGAATGCTAGGTACCCTACCGCTAGCACTGGGAGGTTTCTATGACTGGCAGTGGGAACACCACACTATGATTTGTCCTTTTTTAGAAATTCTAAGAGGTACAGTATTGTCTCTCCCTTTCTTCTTCGCTATTCTTTGTCCCATTCCTTCATCAAAGAGTGAACACAATTAAATAAAAATAACCAGGAAAGCCACACAATTGTTAAGAGTCAAGTTCACATTGATTTGGACACATCTGCCCCAAATTTCAAGTGTTCATAGAGAATGAAAATATCAGGAAATCCAATTTTTTCCCTTAGGAGCAGGAAGAAAACGTATCCCTAAAGATTGTTAGCAAGCGGAAGGTAGGGACAACTCGGATTTGGATCTTCTTTTAGCTGAAATGAGGCCTTTAAGAAACTTTTGACAATCACAGAAAATAGTTTCATCTAAATAGTGTCACTGTCTGTCCCCTGTTTTTCAAAGAAAAAAAAATCATCCCTACAATCACTTCTTGGAATTGTCTTATTTTTCAGCAATTTAAACTCTAATGAAGTCCTGTGTAGAGAATTTGGCTATAGTTTGAGTGTATATGTGTGTAGGTGCTGATAATTTTGCATTTTCTTTGGGGGTGGAAAAGGAAAACAATTCAAGCTGAGAAAATTTTGAAGTAGTCATTTTTAGAAATTTTATTAGAGAATTTTGTTAACCCATTGTCAAAAAAATACTGTGTGACTTTGGTCTAGTTACTTAACCTCTCAGAACCTCATGTTTTCTCACTTGTACTTCTTAGGTTTGCTCTGAATATTAAATGAGATAGTGACATTGTTTTCTAACCATCTTTCCCTTTATTTTCCACATAGCTTTTACCACCTATTGATATATTGTTTATCAGCTTGTTTGCCTTCTCCCCTCTAGTATATACATTATATCCAGGAAAGCCTGGATCGTATCTACTCTCTTCATCACCATAACCCATGTACAAAGAATAGTATTGGGCACTTAGTAATTGAATAAATGAATAAATGACAGCAAAGCACTTAGTACAGTGTCTAGCTCATAGTACACATTCAATAAAGATGACCTTTTATGATTATCATTATTACCTGACATAATTTGCATTTTAAAAGCGGCAAAACTAGCCTTAGTTATGAGGGAGAATTGGCTAACCTTTGTCTTGTGTGTCCTTGTTATCTTCTGCCCGGTCCAGTTTCTTTGTTAGTCTTAGTTTTTGACTGCCCTAAAACGTATTAGGTGGAAGATTTACCTGAAACAGTGGCTCCCCCCTTTTGGGGGAGGGGAAGTAAGAAAGCTCAGAACTGGCTGAGGGAATTGTTGGTGCAAGCATCTCTTTTTATTCTTCACCCCCCACCACACATCTCTTAAATCCTACCAGTAACCTGCTACATTCGGACTGTCACACAGCTGGATGATGTCTTCTAGGCTTATAACCTGAACGCTTTCTAGCATGAGATTTGATTACTTGTGTTGCCTTAAACCAAATCTCCTTAAGCAGATGTTGGTTAGGGCAGTGAGTGGTCATAATCTTGACACATACATGGGGTTTGATGACTCACGAGTGCTCCTTCCCTTTAACCAAAATTCTGACAAAGATGCCCTCTGAAATCATCTCCTTTTTTAAAAAAATGTTTTATTGTTATGTTAATCACCATACATTACATTGTTAGTTTCTGATGTAGTGTTTCATAATTCATTGTTTGTGTATAACACCCAGTGCTCCATGCAGAACGTGCCCTCTTTAATACCCATCACCAGGCTAACCCATCCTCCCACCCCCCTCCCCTCTAGAACCCTCAGTTTGTTTTTCAGAGCCCATCGTCTCTCATGGTTCGTCTCCCCCTCCGATTTCCCCCCCTTCATTCTTCCCCTCCTGCTATCTTCTTCTTCTTCTTTTTTTTTCTTAACATATATTGCATTATTTGTTTCAGAGGCACAGATCTGTGATTCAACAGTCTTGCACGATTCACAGCGCTCACCATAGCACATACTCTCCCCAATGTCTATCACCCAGCCACCCCATCCCTCCCACCCCACCCCCCACCACTCCAGTAACCCTCAGTTTGTTTCCTGAGATTAAGAATTCCTCATATCAGTGAGGTCATTGAAATCATCTCCTTTTATTCAGTTTCATTGTACAACCTCAGAGGTAGTTTAAGTTGCTTTAGGTCATTAACCCAGATGCTGTTTTCTGTTTCGTCAGAGAAATATGCAGATATCTTTTTATGGGTTTTCATATCTAAACTATTCATCTGTTTTGTTTTAGATACCAATGATCATGTCTCCATGTGATCTATGTATAATATTTTCCCTACAGGATATGTCTCATTTACTTTCAGTATTCTTTCAATTACATTTCATTTTGTTTTGATGAAAATCATTGATTTATAATTGCTATCAAAGGCTTCTTTATCTGATGTAGCTGACGAATTGCTACCAGAGCAGGAAGCTATAAAACAACAACAACACAGCTTTGTGAGGATGGTCCGTGTTCCCAATAAAGATTAAATGTCTGCTAAATTAATAATGGGGAAAATACTAGAATACATTATTTCTGAAATGAGATGCTATGTAAATGTGTCTAAATTCACACTTCCTCTATTGCAGGTTCGTATTATTTTAAACAGTATGTATCTCTTTAATATTGATCTGCATGATTGTTTCATTAAATAAAAGAGTCATCCATATTTGGTCCTTTCTTCCTGTACTTTCTCTATTGCATTTGTAAATTATTTTCAATTAAGAGGAAATAATCGCAATAAAATAAAATGCTCTCTTCAGCTTTCCTGAATATTTCTACTGATACTATTTTGAAGATGAGGGTAATGCCATTTGCCCGATCAACATTTTTTCTCTATTTTAGTCCTGGGAGAAGGCTGATATATTAGGATATTTACCTCTATTTTTTTCCTGTGTGCATTAAAAAAAAAAATCCTCAAAAGAAACAATGTTATTTTGTGTGTGATTGAGTTTAAAATAACACATATCAATTTCCTGTTCAAGTGCCGTAATTATATGGCAAAATTTGATTTTTGTGATTTAAAGGTTGTTGTTGTTATCCCCATTTTTGCAGATTCAGTCTCATGGCTTCGAATTCACAATGTCTGGTAGCTATTTAAATAACAAATGAGAATAATCATAGAGCAGGATTATCATCTCTTCAATTCCAGATATCAAACTTCCCTTAATTGCTTTAGAAGCCACATAAACCATTGAGTCTCATGTAACATTGTTTTACAATTAAAACGCATTAGTCTTTTACATAAAATTGTTGTGCTCTCTCTCAGATCACTTGCTCTGGGAGAGCTGGCTGCCACGTCCTGAGGAATCTTCAGAATCTCTATGGAGAAGCCTACATGGTGAGGGACAGAAGTCTTTGGCCGATAGCCAGTGAGGACTGAGGCCTGCTGCCAACAGTGACATGAGTGACCTTGGAAGTGAGTCTGCTAGCCCCAGCCAAACTTTCAGATAACTGCAGCCCTACTGACATCTTGATGGCAGCTTCATGAGAGACCCTGACCAACAACCACCCAGCTAAGTTGCTCTTGAATTCCTGACCAACAGAAAGTGAGATAATACATATTTGTTGTTTTAAACCACTAAGTGTTGGGGTAATAAGTTATGCAGCAATAGATGACTAATGTCGTCGAGCACCAAGAGGTGGCTTTGATAGCGATGGTGGTGTGGCATGTTTGAGCAAAAAAGAGCATGAGCTAGTTCACCCCCATGCCCCAATTTTTTGTTTAGGAACTAAGATCTGAGAAAGGAGCCCAGGGCTAAGGTGATGGAGCCTGTAGTAGGGTCTGCAGGGTGGACTAGCCATGCTAAGGCAACAGACTCCATGTTACACCAGCTGAGGACAATATGGGAGACAGTGGAGATAGAGGTAATGCCCAAGGTCAAGTAGCCCAAGCTTTACCCTAACTGCAGTCATACCTAAGAGAGCTCAGAACACCCTTCCTCTCCCACAGGCACAAGACGAATATCTCAGGAGCTTATAAAATCTCAAAAATTTTACACAGGGGTGGGAGCCTTGGGGGGCACAGTTGGGTGAGCATCCAACTCTTGGTTTCATATCAGGTCATGATCTTGGGGCCATAGGATTGAACCCTGCGTCGGGCTCTGCGATCGGCGTGAAGTTTGCTTGAGATTCTCTCACCCTCTCCCTCTACCACTTCCTGCCCCCTTTTAAATCTTAAAAAAAAAAAAAAAAAACTTTACACAAGGGTATAAGGGGGCAAAGGAGAAGAGAGAGTTGAGAGTCATAAGAGATTGAGTTTTAAACTGAAAGTGATTAAGTTACCTTGAATTGGCAAGAATGAACTTTTCACCAAAGAAGCAAATTAGGGCTTTAGAATAAAATTAATTTCAGTTGTGGAGAAATAAAAGTTACTTACAGACTTTTGCCATATTTGCAGTTACAAATCTTTACACCCCCTATTTCACAATTGATAGGGACACCTTTATTCCAGAGCAAGATAAAAGAAATAGATCATTGGTATCACAGAAGAGCAACGCCAATTTTCTTTGTTCAGAGAGAAATGTATTTGAATTATTTTTGGGAAATAAGTAATTTTGGAGAACACAATCTCTTGCTTTGTGCTAATGATGGCTAATACTTGTGATGTATTCACAATGTTCCAGAGAGTTGTTCTCACCATTTTACAAACACTAAACTCATTCTGTACTAACAGCAAATCTATTCTGTGCTTATTACTATCAGCCCCATTTTAAAATGGGGAAACTAAGGCACAAGAAGAGCAAGGAAACTGCCAAGGGTCATAGCCAGTCTGGTTCTGGAGTATATGAACTTAACCACTGCCTTCTCATGCTCCTCAGGATGTATCTTATATTTCTTCAAAGACTATTTCCAGGACATCAAGTTTATGCTGAGCATTTTGACTAAGTTGGAAAAATGAAAGATTTGAACTCAGATTTTATGTGGATCCTCCTGATGACACTAGACAAAGAGCTTATTGGCTGGTCTCTAAAATAGGATTAATTGCACTCATCTACATGCACAGATATTTATGGAGATTATTCCATTAGTATCTGGATTTCACTTTAAAGGTGAATAGCATTAGGTGTCCTGGCTGTGGAGTGAAGAGCCACACAGATCTTTAAGGACTGGCTTGTAAACATGTAATCAGAAGATCTGGTGCTGCCTGAGAATCCAGAGCAGGTTTTAAATAGCTTACAGAGAGCTCAGCTGGTCTTTCCAAGTCCAAGTTATCAAAAATAGTTTCCTAGTTTATGTGTGTGACCTTCCCTGGCCACAGACACAGAGCCATAAAAACTATTCTGCCTTTGCCTGTCTCTGGAGGCCAGAACAAACTCATGACTTTTTCAATATGAGCTATACTTTAAAAATCGAGGTTATCATAAACATGGTGTGAGCATACAGCCCTGTGAGGCCCATGGATTTCCCTGAATTCAGTGGAATCATTCTTTCTACAAAACACCTCTAAGGTGAAGAACAAGGCCTCATTGGCCAGGCTCTGCCTCCATCAGAATATTCAGCCAGAAACAGACAGTCATGGAGAGAGGCCTGAAGATTCATCTATAGACAACTCGAGAATCTCTAATATTGTTCATTAATTCGTTTTACCTAACTTGTCTCATAATTTCCTGGAAGAAGCATTAATAGATCCAATTGCTTTGCTCCTTTCTTGTTAGGCCCGGAAGATAGGTTCCAACATTTCTAAATCTATTTTTATGAACTTTCTCCCTGAGAAATCTGTATGTGAAGCCAGTGGAGAAGAAGAGAAATGATTGCAATGCTGAGATATCTTCTAGAATGCTAGTCATGTGGAAATGTTGTAAAACACGAAAAAGAAATGAAATAAAACTAGAGGATAAATATTCAAAATACTTAGGGAGCCACACTTTGGCACTATTCTCCACTTAAAAAATGATGCTACTTTGGTCCAGAAAAAAAATATATTTCAGTATTCTTTTCTGTAAAGGGATTTCTGGTAGAACTTGGTATATTCATATGAAATACTGTGTTTTGATCTTCTAATAACATTGTTAATCAGCAAGGGAATTGATTTAATTTTCTAGGTGAGTTGGTTGGAATTTAACACTGTTTATTTTGCCAGTAGATATTTTCCTGGTAGACACAGATGTTGAAGGAAAGCAAGTTCTCCTAGAAAGAGGTTTGCAACACTAGGTATGATTGGCATTTTGGGTACACTACAAAGTAGGAACCTAAAGGTTAACCTACTTCCTTGAATATTTAGTTCTTTTGAAATAAGCTTCTTATAATTTATTATGGAGCTCTTGAACTTGATTTACTTCATAATTAGGATCTTAGGACAAAGAATTAAAAACAGATCTTAAAAAACTATTGCTGACAACTGTTGGCTGGCTGACCCAACAGTTTTTCCTACCCATGGATCTGAAGAATTTTCATAAATTTTCTTGATTCTCTGCCATAGGAAACATGCGAGGCAGCACTGCCATTCTCCTCTTCCTGTTGCCCTGGTTGCAGGTGTTTTGCCAACGCTCTAGAAGCCATCTTGTGACTGTTAGGAACCTTAATGGAGGTAAGCCACAGAACTGATATCTACCTCAGTTTTCCTCTGATGCAAGAAAAAAGATGACTATGTTTTTAAAGGCCACCCAGATTTCTTATAAGTTGATTTGTATGTAGTCCTAACTCATACAATAAAATATAATTATACCCAATATGGTTATACCAAAGACTTAGAGGAGGATGATATTGAAGCCAAACTGGACATTGTCCCATTTTTTCAACGCAATGAAAACTTTCAAGACCAATTTCAAAATTAAAAAGTGCATTTACTAGTTTGTTATTTCCCCTTTCCATTTACCATCTTTGCCTTTATAAGTCTAATTGTAAGTACCACCTCATATGATCTGGACAAATTGTATTTATTTTATACAAAAGGTGATCTTTATAAATTCATTTCCCTTAAAACATTACTATAGATCAATATAAAAACTTCTACTTTGAAAGAACTCTTGAGATTTGAATAGTACAATTTAATGAATAGCAAAAGGATAAAATTAGATCTTCTTTCTTCCCCCATCCTTTCTTCTCTATTTCACTCTCTCCAACTCTTTCTTTCCTCTCAGTGTTTTTCTTTATTTAGTCTTCTCATTATCCATGTTTCTATCTTTCTTAAATTATCAGTGTAATGTGATATATTTTTCATAAAGAATATTGATATTTTTCTTAGTATTTATGTATTTTGTGGCAGACATTTTTTTCCTTATGCATTTTGTGGGGGATTTTGCCAACATGTAACACAACAGAGCCAGTAGTGGAAACATTTTTAAAATTTTTAGTTTCAAATAATTATCCCCCATTTTTTTTCTGTAGAAATACAATCCTTGTTTGAAGTACATGCCGTTATGTCACAGTTGTGGATTTTTGGTCCAAGCCAAAATATGAGATCACAAATGATAATTACATTGGATTATTTGCCAATATTTTTCCACTCACGTGTACAAAAATACCGTGTATTTTAATGTTATACCTACTGGCTAAATGATGTAACTCTGTCAATGTCTGAGAAACAAGATAGGATTAAGTAACATAATTTGGTATGTTTAAATGTTTTAAACTGAACAGGATCAGAAAACATGCTTAATGCTGAGTAAAACATATTGAAAGCAAGCCTATAGCATTTCCTTGCATAAGAATGGTCACTTACGGGGCGCCTGGGTGGCTCAGTTGGTTAAGCGACTGCCTTCGGCTCAGGTCATGATCCTGGAGTCCCGGGATCGAGTCCCGCATCAGGCTCCCTGCTCGGCAGGGAGTCTGCCTCTCTCTCTGACCGTCCCCCCTCTCATGCTTTCTATCTCATTCTCTCTCTCAAATAAATAAATAAAATATTAAAAAAAAGAAGAATGGTCACTTAGACGGTGTATTAATAAGAGAAACAAAACAGAACACGTTTTCCAGTTTTCCCTAAATTCAAGAAAACTTAGAATATATGCATTGAAACAATGTTTCTCTGCCCATATTAATCTGAAAACCTGAACAGACATTACTTAACCAGAATCCAAAGTTCAGGGGCAAGATTGTTGAAAGATCTCTAATTTTAAAATCACTGTTTGTAGAAGTAAACCTTTGTTCCCAGTCTGTAAATTATTAAAATGAGTATATAATGAGTTCCCAGGTCTCCTCATTAAATCTTCTTGTACATGCAATGAGCTGTTTCCCAGTGCGTCTCACTCTCTGGTACTTCATTACTAGTGATGGTGTTGGCACTTTTAGATTTATTTGCAAATGATAAACAGGGATTCAATGACTGCCAGCACTTATCTTCATGCAAATTACAGGCCAACTGTTCTGCCACGTTCTCTGAAAGTTAAAGTTTGAGAACCTCAGTGGAAGGCAGAGTTCTTGCTATAGAAGTTCCTCATATGTCCATTCCTTTATTGTCTACATAATTCACTTTGATTTTTGTGTCAAAGTTCTTATTTTACCTGAGGCTGAAATCTTAGTTTAGTCATTTCGAGGTAAAAATAAATTCAGTTATTTTTCAGTATTTAATTTTGAAATTTATATTATATTCAGGAGCCCCGCCCCCCACTGCCAATTCAGTCTTTTTTGCTATATTTTTCCCTGGGTGGATTTTTCAATTTTAGGGGCTTATGCATCTGGCACCGTGGGTGGTGTGTGAGAGGCCTGATCTCATCCAGGTCTTGATTTGTTCACTCACAAAGTGGACCCTTACTTTCTATATAATTTATCCTATCAGATTCATGGCAAAAGCGAAGAATGATGCTTTCTCAAACAGCAACCTGGGTAGAATGTGGCCTTATCTTGGCATCTACTCTGCTTCATAGCCCTGGCAATTCCTTGAGCCCATTCTTACCACTTCTCTTTTGAGGATGGTCCACATGGGCTCTGTTGGATATGCCTCTCTTCATCCCAATTTTGGACATCCACAAAGATAACCATGAGTTAGCTTCCATGCCACATGTGGGGCCCAAAGGAACTTTTAGACCCCCTTCTGCACCCTACAGGTACCATAGGTGTCCTGGGATGGTGTGTAGGTCTCTTTTCACTCCTAAATATGTCACATTACCATGTCTAGTTCCCCACCCTTTCCTATCTCCTTGAGGGTGCATTAGGCTCCTGTCTTTCAGAAATCCCAAGTAGAAACCAGGACGCATGTTTCTTTTATTCTTGGTTTCCCACCAGCAGCCCTGCACCAAGCCCCCAGGATACAACTCAGAAGGTGCGAACTAAAAGTAGGGTGACCAAATCTCCATATTTGAGAATGAAAGAGTTTCCAGGATGCAGGACTTTCAGTATGAAAACACAGAAAGTCCTGGAGCTGGTCACCTTACAAGAGGCATGTCTACTACAGTGTGTATAATCTCTTTTTCCCCTCCGAGGTCTCCTCCTTTCTGCTCAGAAGATTCCTTATCTAATGGGGGCTTGTTCAGATCACTTTTTCTCCTTTAAAATATTTTCTGTCTGGAAAGGGTCTTTGAAGCTTAGAAATGAAGAATTTGGCATCCATTTTTTCCCCTTCATCTTTGAAATCACTTGAAGAAATACATACTTTTTTTCTGCACGCAGTTATATTTGAGAGGATCAATAGGAAGCCAGGAGGGATAAGGGAAAATACCAACTAATCCTTCACATATCATGTTACCATACTTTGTTTTTTTTTTAATTTTATTGAGGTATGTTTTACATATTATAAAATTCATCCATTTCAAGTGTACAATTCAATGGCTTTTAGCCAATTTACCAAATAGTATTACCATTCCCATAAAACAGTTATAGAACATGTTCCTTTCCTCCAGTAAGATCCCTCATGCTTATTTACAGTTCATTCTTTTTCCTGCCCTTAGCCCCAGAAAAGCACTAATCTACTCTATATGTCTTTAAATTTGTCTTTTCTAGACATTTCATATAAACAGAGTCATATGATATGTAGTTTTTTTGGTTTAGCATTTCATTTAGCATAATGTTTTTGAGGCCCATCCATGATGGACCATGTGTTGGTAGGTTGTCCTCTTTGTTGGTAAATATTATTTCATTGTATGGATGCACCACATTTTTTCCCTACATACCAGTTGATGGACACTTAAATTGTTTCCAAGTTTTGGTTATTATAAATGATGTTGCTATAAACATTTTTGTGCAAGTCCTTGTGCAGATATATATTTTCATTTCTCTTGGGTTTAGGAGTAGAATTCCTGGGTGAAATGGTAGTTTAATGTTTAACATTTTGAGAAATGACCAAACTGTTTTCCAAAATGAATACATTATTTTACATTTTCATCAGCAATGTAGGAGGGTTCCTGTTTATCTACATCCTTGCCAATGCTTGTAACTGCCTGCCTGAATTATTATAGCCATTCCGATAGGTGTGAATTGATCTCATTGTGATTTTAATTTGCATTTCCTTAATAATTAATATTATCGAGTATCTTTGTGCCATTTTTACATTAACCATTCATGGATCTTCTTTTGTAAATGTCTGTCCACATGTCTGTTCAGTTTTGATGGACTACCTTCTTATTGAGTTGCAAACATTCTTTGTAAATTCTGGGTGCAAGTCCTTATTGGGTATGTGCTTTGAAAATATTTGCTTGCTCTCTATTGCTTGTCTTTTCATTTCGTTAATGATGCCTTTGAAGTACAAAAGGTTTAATCTTTGGTGAGGTCCATTTTAACAATTTTTTCTTTTATGAACCATGCTTTTGGTCATTGTCTAACACAAGGTCTTGAAGATTTTCTTCTATATATTCTTCTAAATGTTTTATTATTTTAATTCCTACATTCAAATGTATGGTCCATTTTGAGTTATTTTTGTGTATGGTCTGAGATGAAGGTCTAAGTCAATCTTTTTGTATGTGGATATCTAATGGTCCCAGAACCATTTGGTGAACAGACTATCCTTTCACTCAATGAATTGCTTTGGCACCTTTGTAAAAAAAAATCAGTTGACTAAAATAAAAAGCTTTTGGGGCACCTGGGTGGCTCAGATGGTTAAGCATCTGCCTTTCACTCAGGTCATGATCCCAGGGTCCTGGGGTTGAGCCCCACATCGGGCTCCCTGCTCAGCAGGGAGCCTGCTTCTCCCCCTCCCTCTGCTTCTCCCCCTGCTCATGTTCTCTCTCTCTCTCTCTCTGTATCTCTGTGTCTCGAATGAATAAATAAAAAAATCTTAAAAAAAAGAAAAATAAAATAAAATAAAAGGCTTTATTTTGGGGCTCTCAATTCTGTTACTATAATTTGTATAATTATATGTCTATATACCAGTACCAGACTATCTTGATTATTCTATTTTTTATAATAAACTTTGAGATTAGGAAGTGAAAGTCCTCCAACTTGGTTCCTATTTTTCAGAATTACTTTGACTATTTTAGGTGTTTTGCCTTTTCATACAAATTTTAGGATTTGTCAATTTCTTTTTTTTTAAGGATTTATTTATTTATTTACTTGGGGGTGGGATGGGAGAGAGAGAGAGAATCTTGAGCAGACTCCCAGCTGAGTGCAGAGCCAGTGGTGGGGCTTGATCCCATTATCCATGAGATTGTGACTTGAGTT